GACTATTAATATATAAAAATGCTGTTAATTAGTATAAGGAATTATATATAGTCATAAGAATTCAAACCGTTAGTTGGTAGGAAAAGTAAAAGATAACTTCTGTATTTTTTACAAATGTACACTTCTAATTGCTAGTTTAAAATAATGTTAGCAAGACATTAAATTCAAACAGTTAAACTATTTTAAAATCAAATCTGTGAGAGAGACTGTCTCTAAAAAGAAAAAAATCTAATTTGGTTTAACAAAGAAAAAGTAACTCTTCTAGCCTACAATAAAAAACTTCTGATGTAGACACCCAATTTTGAAGTATAATGTATTGTGGGTATAAGCCAACTTGTTTTCTTTTATATTGAAATCCAAATTTTAACCTATGCTTGCCACAGCAGTCAGCAGCTAATGTAATGAATAGAGTATTCCTGCTAGCCTATAGCTTATGCCACTGAACATGAGGAAAGTACTCTAGTGAAAGCAAAAGGAAAGCAGGAAACAAGATGGGTATTTAAAAATATATACATATCTTCTATACAGTTTCACTCAACGGTATTTAAAACTAAAATTGACTTAATTAAACCTTTTTAGTTTTTAAACGATCAGTGTTTTAATGAAAACTATTATCCTACCTTAGGTAATATTTTTTTAAGAACTTGAAATATATTTAAAGTGGTATATGATTTATACACACTTGTCTAATCTAAGTTCTTAAGCCTTACAATACAGCAACTAATAGCTCAAGATGTAAGCCTTTAAATATTTCTCTGAAGTAATATGCTAACCTTTTATAAAAATTACATATATAAAATTCTTGAGATAAACTGAAATCTATGAGAAAAATCTTGCCGGTGTTTTTTTACTCTTCTCCCAGATTACCTCAACCCAGACTCCCCCCATTTTGCTCATTCTTTTTTTCTATCTATCTATCTATCTATCCACCCATCCATCCATACATTATTTTTAAAGTCTCTTGAAAATCATTTCAGAGAAAAACTCAGGTTTGGATATCAATGATGAGAAAAAAACATGAAAATTGTATTAAAAGTTTGCTATAGCTATCATTTTTCTCATATCACACTCCTGTATAAACATAAATAATTTATGTTGATATCATATCATCTATCCTTTAATAAATTATTTAAGCTCAGCACCAGTTAATATATCAAATCAGAAAAATCAAGATAACCAGCAAGGTAACACCAAATCAACCATAAATTTGAGACATACATCAAACTACTTTGTTACCTTTAAAAACAAAACCAAATATAATAAACGATGGAAAGAAAAAATTGAACATGGATGGACAATTCAGGCCGAGGCTTACTCTACACAGTGAAATAAGATACACATTATTGAACATTTCTTTACATGACATTCACCCATTTTCAATAACACAAAAAGACAATGAAAGGTTTATCTACAAGTAAAAAGATGGAAGTATTAATAAACACACTATGCTTAGACTAATCCCCTAGCCAATATAAAAGGAAATAAAAAATTTTAACAATCATCCTATTTGTGATTAAAAACATGAAATATAAACTGGAATTCAAAGTTACTGAAAGTAAAAAAAAAAGCTATCAGCTTATTCAACTTAACAAAACAATTTAAAAACTATACTTTTATTTATCAGCATTAGTAATTGACTTTTAAGCCTCTTATGGATGCATATTTTATAAAGCAGACAAATCTTCTGAGCATTTATCCTTAACACTCTTACCTTCCTCTCTTCCTGCCTATTTCCACTAAATGGCAATGCTTAAATTTTTCCAGACATTGCCTTCTGTCATGTTACAACACTCGATTACTCCATTTTTAAGACTCTATTATATTTTTCAGGCCTTTTCAAAACCTATCTTACTCTCAAATTTTCCAAAACATTTTGAGATAACTTTAAAAACTATATTTAGCCCATGTCCTCCTGAAAAGACCTGAGGAAGCACAAGACAATAAATAAGCATGGAACATAAACCACAATTCACAAAACTACAGAAATATTGACAGAAAGGTACAGATATACTTTTAAGTGTTTACTGATGATTTTACAATGCAATATTCAAGGAAAAGCACATAGGTTTTACAGTTAAGCACTTAGTATAAAAAGTTTTACATATATTAGTATTAGATGTGATGGTCTGATGATGATGATGATGACAATAAAGGGTGGCATGATCAATGGTTTTCAAACTTTTTGAGACCCTTTCTTCAAGTGAAATCACATACAGAAGATGGATATAAAAACACATGGAATCAAAGCTGCTGTTTCAGAAAAGTAGGGGATCCAGACACCTACCCTCAATCCCATCCTTCTCTGCTCCCTTTCACCCTGCCTCCTGGAAGGCCATGAGGTACCTCTGACAAACCTCTATGGTTCAGAGGAGCAGAATTTAAAATTAAAATTATTGGTTTAATTGATTAAAAGTTATTTGAAATCATTATTTATTTATTTATTTATTTATTTATTTTCTTGAGACAGGGTCACTCTGTCGCCCAGGCTGGAGTGCAGTGGCACAATCACAGCTTACTGTAGCCTCAACCTCCCTGGGTTCAGGTGATTCTACCACCCAGCTTCCTCGGTAGCTAGGACCACAGGCACATCACCATGCATGACTAATTTTTGTATTTTTTGTAGAGAAGAGACTCCTAGGCTCAAGCAATCCGCCTGCTTCGGCCTCCCAAAGTGCTGGGATTACAGGTATGAGTCACCGCGCCCAGCTGAACACATGTAAATTACAGAAGCTCAGTGTGACCTTGAGGACTAATTTAGCTTTTGATTTACTTTTCAAAAATAGGAATATGTTAATAATTGAAGAACCATAAACTACAGAAACCTGAGGAATTTTAAAGGTTAGAGAGAATCTTAATCTTTTCACATTTTACACATGAGGAGCTGAGGCTCAAAGAGGTTAAGCAATTGGTCCAAGTTCTCACACCTAATCCACAGCAGAACTGAGAGAAAAACACAGGTCGGTTGCTTTTCCAACCTACCTCATGGTCCCTCTCCATTCTCCCTAAAATGAGTTGCAAATATTTTAGGTACTGTTCAAATAGGACTTACTATACTCAAATTCTTATTTTCTTGTTTTTTAGTTCACAAAGTATCATTTTGCATACCACATACTAACGATCACATAAGCACCAGTTATAATTCCTTTGAAAACATTTTGAAAGCTACTGCAGAAGTGGAAAGTTGTCTTTATAGACAAGTCAAACTTAGAAAGCTTAAATCTAATCTTCTGCAAAATTCAGTAGGTATTAACAATATAGTAAAACAGAGTTAACAGGGACCCCAAGTCCACAAATACCTTTTCCTACAGAATAACAATCAATCAAACCTTTGTTGATTAGGTTTTAGGTTTTTTTGTTTTTGGGGTTTTTTTTTGGCCCCTATTGCAGGGTAAGGATGTAAGGATAAATGAAATTATACCTAGAAGTGATATGGAACTAACCATGAACAAAAACAAATTTCTGTATAAAGTAGATGTTAAAGAAAAAAAAAAACTTGCTGTATAGTGAGTTCAAGAAAGACTTTTCTTCTTTTTGAGAGAGGGTCTCCCCCTATCTCCCAGGCTGGAGTACTGTGGCACAATCGCAGCTCACTGTAGCCTTAACCTCCTGGGATCAAGCAATCCTCCCACCTCAGCCTCCCTCGTAGCTAGGATCACAGGTGTACACCACCACATGCAGCTAATTATTTATTTTTTGTAGAGTTGGGGTCTCACTATGTTGCCCAGGCTGGTCTTAAACTCCTGGATTCAAGCAATGTTCTCGCCTCAGCCTCTCAAAGTGCTGGGACTACAGGTATGAGCCAACAGGCCTGGCCCAAGGAAGACTCTTGACAGTTCTGCTTTCTGCCTGGAAGCTGTATTTAATTCATAAATCTGAACTCACATTCCCTTTGAATTTGATTTTTCCTCTCTATTCTTTCAAGGATATTGACATATGCTACAATTCTCTATGGAGTTCTAAATCAGAATTTTAGGTGATGACAGAAGGGAAAAAGGATCACAGTTACCACGTTACAAAGTTCAGAATCTGGAAGCAGCTTATTTTTCATCTTCGAAATATAAGACAAGATCTATTTATCTACTAAACAGACTTTGTACTGATTTAATAAAGATTCTGTTGACATATACGTAAAGTGAATATAAAACTATTCTGTATTATACATAATTTGGTATCAAATAACGAGTAGGAATCATAAAATAATATCCATTGTATTATAAGACATAAAAGTTGAATAGCTGATTTCAAATAACTATATCATTTCTCAAAACAAACTTAGTGAAAAACACATACTATATTTATCTAATACATAATGCTACAAAATAAGGTATAGTAATTTTAATTTTTTTGTAATAAAAATTATACTAAAATCAGATGAGAAAGGAAAACAATACCTCCCACTTTTCTCCAAAGATTATGCAGATCAAAATAGATTTATTGCTATTAAAGTAAGGAGCTATCAATTTGCACCGGAAAAAAAAAATTGCAGTGTCTTATGTAAGTACATAACAATGTTCTTCAATTATCGCCACAGCAAAGACCGGAAGCTCATCCCTTTCTCACTTGTACTACTCCCACTCAAAACCTCTTCATATATCCTCTGAAAAAAAAAGCATTCTGTTGTCCAGGAAAATCCAAAACTTTTTGTGAAGGTTTAATTGTTGCTGGAAAAAACTTACCAAATATAATATAAATATCAAGTATTCTATGTGTGAATAGTTACAGTGGGAAATCCAAACCTTTGAAAATAAAACTTTAACACATTAAGGTATGAGAGTGGAATATCACAGGAAAAATTACCTTAATACCTTATAATGAAATTACTTGAGAAATTAAAATAAGAGGAACATTAATTTATCCCCTTTATGAATATGAAGAAACATATAATGAGGGAATGAAGGATACATTTTCACCTCAAGGTAGTAAGATTGCCTATAATGAAGAAGCAGTGAAAGGAACTAGAAACTAGGATTTGTGTTTGCTTTTTCCCTTACTTAACCAACCTTTAACTGGTGGAAAAGGATGAGAAGGAAGTGAATCTGAACACAGTTCCAGTGGAAACTGTAAAAGTTCTTCATTATCTGTAGAGGCTAGAAAGGCAAGAAAAATACCAGTTATTTAGTAATGATCTATTATTAATTTTTTTAAATTAAGAATCTGTGACAACATACATATACATATTCTCAGCTCCACCTTCCCGCCCCAATTTTTTCTGGTCATTTTCTCTCTGATTTCTCCCATGGAAACCCTTCATCTACATGATGCTGAGACTGGTGCTATCTTCCCTGGTATGACTGTTGTGAGGCTTTAAGAAATTAATATCTGTAAGTAATTTAGCACAGTGCTTTGCAAATAATAAATGCTAGATAATAATAATTAATATCCTACACTTTGTCCATTACTAGTTTTTATGCCACTTAAACTGGTTACATGTCTTCTTTGACAAATATCGGAACACATAATCATTTAATACATCTACCTGACATTAACTCACTGCTCAAATCTTATCAATGCTATACATGTAGAATGTAATCAACTTTTAAAAGTTTAGGACTAATCGTGAATATTTCATTTAGCCAGTAAGTCATTCGAACTATACAAGAAAGTATAGTATTCCTCATTATGTGTTTTTCAGAACACATAGTTTCCAGTAATTTGGATTTCTTCAGAATATATTACGAATATTACTTTCTTTTTTTTTTTTTTTAATTTATTTATTATTATTATACCTTAAGTACTAGGGTACATGTGCATAACGTGCAGGTTTGTTACATATGTATACTTGTGCCATGTTGGTG